ACCTTTAAGTAGTCTTTTTGTGTTAATAACTTTGGACAAAATTACATCATGGCATTATCTATAACTTTTAAGGATGTTCATTTTAATGCTGTTAAATTGAAGCCCAATATTGTAAAGCTCAGTTATCTTCTGTTAAATTAAATAAGGCAAAGGTTTTTTTGTTAAATTTTGGTAGATTTAATTTCTGATAAGTTTCAATATTACTAAGTTTGCACAATGATCTATTCCAGTTTTTATGGGTCCAGTTATGTTTGGTATTACTAGTAATTAACTTTGAGTTCTCTTGAGTGCGCTTTTTGTTTTACTAAGGTGATAATGACATTAATTTGAAATCCTTTTAGGGCTGAGTTTAAGTTCCTCTTGTGAAGCTCAAGTGCAGTCCAAATAAATTTCTATCAGGTTTGAGTGTTATTTAATCTGAGGTATCATAAATTTTACTAGTGAGCTGTTCAGTGTTTTCTTTGGATGCATTTATTCTGTCATAAATACATCAATCTTTGATTTACTGTTTTTATAGCCAGCTTTTCATTTGCTTTACCATCTTTTGGTGTAATTATCTACAAGAGACGTGTCATTTCAGGATCCTCCTTTTGTTCTCTAGCTGCTTATGTATCTCTCAGACCAGACTACCCCTCTAGCTGGGCTCCACACTGTGGCTCTGTGGTTTGACCCAGTGCTGTCTCATCATTTCTAAGTATTTTTCAGAGTTCCAAGAAATGATATCTCAGCTTTGTGGGAAGCCTCCTCTAAACTGATGGTATTGTGACATCTACTCTAAGTAATCAGATGCAGCCCCAATTATTATTACAGAACCACTCCAAGAGTTTGCTGGGTTTAAAGCATCTCTATGCTGAGGGAATTTTGGAGGAGACAGCTATTGCATGGTTCATTAGTCTGTCACCCCTAGACCTTTACTCCTAAGTGCTAATCTCAAGAGCCTTGTTTTAAATGATGTTTAGGGAATTCTCTCCCACTTAGAGCTTGGGTGGTGGCCAGGCCTTAGCTCTACCTGGATGGGAATTTGCCAACAGACCCAGATGTTTTCTGCATCAAAGCTAGATTTGAGTTGCTTTGACTTGGCAATTTGACCCTCTAGACATGACAGTTGAACTCTTTTTAAAGGGAGCTTGGGAATTATTATCTGGAAATAATTCTCCAAGTCCCCACTGAATCGAGGTTTGTCAGCTGTTTGCAGACTCTGGGATGATGGTACATTATTGCAGAGATTGCTATTTACCTAATTCCACCTATGTTGTTAGCTTTGTCTGCTATTTGAAATATTCCTGATTGTTGTATCCAAATTATTCCTAATTGCTCTAAGTTTCTTGTCCACTGCATGTATTATTTTGCTATGATGTTTCTTCATACTCATAACAAAAGGCATGCATCTCATTCTTAAGAAACAATAAAGAAAAGGAATGTATGCCTTAAGAACGTTCAAATAATGCAATATGTACATGAGAAATTTGGACGACTAATCAGTTTGAATAATGCAATATTTACATGAGAAATTTGGAAAAAAGATCATCACATCTAAATCCCAATTGAGGGTACCACAGTGCAGCCTGATTGATTCATTAACTTCAGGAGAAGATGTGCCTGTGTTTCATCATCCGCAGTTCAAAGCAGTCACCTGTTCATTCCATCAGATACTGATCAGCTCTGAAAAAATGATGCCCAGTGCAAAGAGAAATAACCTCATCACCTTGCAGCTTTTGCTTCAAAGGTTTCCTTGCAGCCTTTGTGGCCAGAGCAGGAACAGGAGGAGGACTGCCCAGACATGGCTGTGTCTGGAAACTGACAGAGGCATTTTGCCAACAAAAGCCTCCTGGCATCCTCATGGTACAGTGCTCCTACCAACCTTCTTCAGTTATTCCCTGTTCCAGCACCCAGGAGGACATTCAGTGATGTCAAAGATCAACATTTCCAGCTCACAGACTTTCTCATACTTCTCAACTCATTGGAAACAATGGTCATTTCTTTCCATTTCCCTAAGAGACATTGGACATTATTCTTTTGTTTTCTCATGCTGCAAAACTCTGTGTCAATGACTTGATAGAATTTGGTAAGTTTTGTTGATTGTAATTGGTCTTTTATCTATCTTAGCCCCGTATCTAACAGATAACCAGTGATAACCTTGATGAGATAATACCCTCACAAGAGTGAGCTCTTTCAACATCAGAACATAGGAGCCTTTTTTAAATGAACAAAAAGGGGGAGATGTCATAGACAGGTAGAATAATGATAAAAGAAAGGCCCTATGAAATCAGGCCTTGTTCTGCCATGTTAATAGCTGGCCTGTCATCTCTTCTGAGTACAGCTAAGCAGGTACAAGTTCCCATGTGAAGCCATTGTGAGAATGAGACTTTGTGACCAATCTATTCTGAGGGTGAAAAACAAATACACCTGCAACAACAAGGGATTTGTCCCATGAGAATCAGTGAAGAGAACAGGTAAACAATACAATAGAGAGATTTGATGCACAAGTAAAATCTATTTTATTAACCAATAATAGAATAACTGGCAAGAAATCTATGAACTAACTAAAGTTGCACACAAGGTCCTTCAAACTGTAAAATGAGTTGTATGAATAAAGAATAAAGAGTTCTCCAGCTCAGCTGGGTCCTCTGGGATTTCAGTTCCCCCCTTCTTTGAGGCTTTGTGTTCCCTCTTCTTTGGGGCTTTGGGTTCCTTCTTCTCCGAGATTTTGGGTTCCTTCTTCTGTGGGATTTTGCTTTCCTTCCTCTCTGGGGCTTTGGTGTCCTTCTTCTCTGATGCTTTGCTTTTCTTCCTTTCTGATGCTTTGCTTGCCTTCTTCTCTGGGGCCTTGGTTTCCTTCTTCTCTGGGATTTTGGTTTCCTTCTTCTCTAATGCTTTGCTTTCCTTCTTCTCTGGGATTTTGGTTTCCTTTTTCTCTGGGATTTTGGTTTCCTTCTTCTCTGGGATTTTGGTTTTCTTCCTCTCTGGGGATTTGGTTTCCTTTTTTGGGATTTTGGTTTCCTTCTTCTCTGGGGTCTTGGCTTTCCCCTTCTCTAGTTTTGGAGGTTGCTTCCCCACAGAGACACCCTTCTTTTCCTGCTTCTGCCTCTCTTCATCCTTCTGCCTCTCTTCCTCCTCTAAGGCTTTTGCCTCCTCCTGAAGCTTTTTACCTGACTGCTTCAGCTCCCTTCTGCAGACAAAATAAAATAAAACAGAAAATATGGCTGAGAGTCACCACCAGAAACTTGGGCTCCCTAGTCCTGGATGGCCCTGCACTTCATTCCTTGACCCTGAGGCCATTTCCATTAATTCTTCTCAACCCACAGATGTTGGGAACATCCCAAGTGAGGCCATTGGTGGAAGGGGACCTCCAGGACCAGCCAAAGCTAAATTTTGCCATCATAAGCTCTTGACTGTGCAAGCTCCCTCTTAAGGCACAGCCAGACCCCTCCAGCCCCTGCCAAAGGCTGATCCACCAGCTCTCTGTGCTGGTGCCTGAAAACGCCCTTTGTCTCCTGGCTTCCTAGTTTAGAGCAGAGCTGACATCTGCTTATCTCTCCTACAATTCTTACTCAGCTCATTCAGCCCCCTTCCTCCTGGGCATAGCTGAAGCATGATTTTAGAGAGTTCAGACTTCAGCTGAGGCTTAGAAGCAATTCCCATTGATCAGGATGTAAGTTAGACAGGCAGACCATAGGTTAATGATTATGAGATGCTTAAGCTGGAGCTGACTGTTCTATTGTTTACCATTAGGAGCTTCTTTCTAGAAGGAATGGAGGAAGTGAACTGTTATAAGAACATCTTGAAACCAGGAGAACAATGGTTAGCACCTGGGCTTGATGTCAATCAGACACTAAGCAGGGGCCTTGGATCGTGCCAGAGGGTCACAGAGACCTGATGAAGACATTCCTGACTTCATCCCTTAAGACCACGGACCCAATTCGAGACCCAGTTCAAGGGAAGAATTGCACAGGTGTGAAGGACCAATGACCTCATTTGAATACACAGCGGGGATGGGAGGTGCTGGGGTTGTGCAGATGTATTGTATGTAAGATCTTGGGCAATAAAGAGAGGACAAAGAACCTTGGACAGCGCGGTCACGCCTTTTAGGGACGGCTCTGGTGCCTCCCGCCGGTGTTAATAAACACACCACTGCCTAACTTTAATTAGTTAGAGAGTCTCTGTCCGTGACCTTTGGTTTTAACGACTCCTAGCCTGCTCCTTCATGAGAACAATCCTATCAGTCAGAAAGCAAAGGCTGCAGGAACTCCTCTCCTGCAAGACAGGCTCTTGTCAGCCAGATTTCCTGCTGGAACCCAGCTGTGACCAAGCAAACCAGTGCTGGCTGCCATGGAAACCATTGGAAGCAGCCTTGTCCCTCTCCTCCCCATGCAACCAACTTCAGCCTGGCCTGAAGAAGTCCTGATACACAGGCTGGCTTGAAGCAGCCTCCACTCCCAGCTCCACCCTTGGCCTGTGTGTCCTGAGCTGGGCTGCCTTGCTGGAGCTGAGCTTCTCCTGTGCTTGCCCACTGCTGCAGCTGCAGGGGAGCCTAAAGGACATGAGCTTTTCTGGCTGCTGTCCCACCATAAGGAGAACCCTGGCAGATCAGCATTGCAAGGACTTCATCTGGGGCAGGAGCAGGACCCAAAGCAAGGTTTGCTCTGTGCCCCACGCCTGCCCATACCACAATGCCACTGTTTTGGTGAAGAAGGGAGGTGATGAAGAAGATGCCACTCAACACCATGCACTTCAAGACACCTCTAGAGGCAGTGCCAAGGCAAGTCCAGAGCCCAGCTCCCTGCAGGCAGCAGCTAAGCCAGGAGGGCTCAGCACTCAAATAGAGAGGAAGATGTTCTGTCTCAACAGGAGAAGGTAGCCAGAGAGCTCAGAGTGGCCATCCCTATGTTGCTGCTGGCCTTTGCTATGCAGCACCTCTGAGCTCAGAGTGCTTGGAGCAGGGAAGCCCTGCAGGGACAATAACCCATGGCAGAGCAGGAACCCATGGAAGGCTGACTCACCTCTCCCTGAGAGGGGCCTGAGAGCCACAGTTGATCTCCCGGGGGCTCAGGGAGGAGCTGACACGTGAGGCCTCCCCGGGCACCAGCACCTCGTAGCTGGGGCCTCCCTCCACGTGGCACAGCTCCGGGACATTGCAGGTGCTGCTGAGGTGGCCAGAGAAGGTGGAGGAGACCTGCTGGCTCTCTCCTGGCTGCAGCACACCTGACACTGGCAGGATACTGAAAGCCTGGGTGGAAGACAGGAGAGATTGAGGTGCTGAGCATGGAAATGGATGCAGAAGAGCATCTTGGAGCAAAGTGCAGCTGTAGCCAGAGGGGCCTATTCCCCAAACCCTGCCAGAATCACCCTCACCGCATCCTGCATCCATGCCACTGACCAGTGCAGGGACCATGGGGAAAATCTTCTCCCATCGTCACGGGTCAATGCATTAATTAGTACATTACATAAAAGTGACTTGGGATGTCTCCTGGCAGTAGGAATTCTCTCTGATGCACAACTTGCCTTTAAAAAGTTTCAAAACTTCCTGCTTTTAGAAAAGGAGGAGACTCAGAGTGAGAGCTCTTGGAGCTGAGGGAAGGAGCCCAGCCCAGCTCATCTGACTCCTGAGGCTCTTGCCCTCTCTGATTTAAATGCTGCTTTCTCAAGGTGCTACAGCAAAAGCTCCTGCAAAAACTTCCTGTGGAGCACCTGAGGAGTTCCAGGGGGAGCAGTGCCCTCCACAGGTGCTGCACAGTGTCCTCGGGCAGCCTACAACGTGTCCTGCACGGCTCTCCAACAAGCAGCTGCTTCAGCAGCCCTTTGTGATGGGCCTGCAGGGATGGGAGGCCCCTCTGTGGCCAATGCTGAGGGCCCCCAGTGGCACTGGCAGCTCCAGCCCTGCTTGCCACACTGACAATGGGCAGTGAGACAGATTCCCTCTTGCCTTCTCCGCTCCCAGGGGAGTGTGCGCCACATCCAGGGAGCACCTGAATCCCTCCAAGCCTTGTGGCAGGTGAGGGTTTTCAGGAGTTGGTGCTGGCACCTGGAAAACAAGCCATTTTCTGTGCTGGGAGGAAGAGACAGCCACTTTGCAAAGTCTCCCTTTGTAAGACAGCTTCAGGGCCAGCAGTGCAACAGCAGCTCTGGGTGAAAGCAGAGCCCTGCAAACAGGGAGTCTGGCTGCCTTGGGAAGAGGCTCCATGGAGATCGGGACTCATCCCAGCTTGCTCTGGGAGGGAAGCTGGAGGTGTTACCATGATGATGCAGAGAAAAGCCTCATCTTACATTGGGAAGGAAACAAGGCAAAAAAATCCCACACTCAACACAGGTCTGTAGGATCTGAGTCAGCTTCTCCAAGGAAAACTCTCCTATTTCTCCCTCCCACTCAGCCCATGTCCAGCCACTGGCCCTGCCGCCCAGCCCGCTGGCAGGGCACAGCAGAGCAGGGTAGCAAAAAGGGAGCTCAGCATGAGCAGGACTTGGTGCTGGCAGGCTGGGGAGGCAACACAAGCACTGGATGTACAAGAAAATCTACCTCTGCTCCTGAAGAGTGGGTAAAATCCTGCACTTCTTTCAGGGCTCTGGCTGTATCCTCCTGTCCAATCCTGAAGTGCCTCCATTGAGATGCCAGGGAATCCAAACTGGTTTTCTTCTCCTTTGGTGGCTGGGGTTTGAATTTAGGTGGGTAGAGCTCATCTCTGGAAAATAAGATAACTATGAACAGGGACCTGCAGTGGGAGGGAGGGACACCTGCACGAGCAGCTCCTGGCCAGGATGCAGCCCCTGGCTGGGTGCTGGCACGTTGAACTGAGAAATGGCTTGATCCAGCCCTTCCCAATCCAGGCTGGAGCAGGTCTGTTCTAAAGGCAGCCCAGGGATGACACTGAGGTGCTGCAGCAGCTGCAACTGCTTGCATTGAGCAACTACAGAGGACAGGCATGAACACCTGGTGGGGATGCAAAAAGCACAGTGGGACAGGGAAAGACAGAGAAGGCAGCAAAAAGGTGAGATTTGAGGCACCGAGGGGCAGACCCAGCCAGTGCCCAGCCAGCAGAGCCCCCCCAGTGCCCAAGGCCAGAAACTCTGCAGCTCCACCAGGGATTTATCAGGAATGTTCCCCTGACACTAATGGGGGGTTGGTTGACATTTTCCAACACTCCCAGGCGACTCAGGTCGCATTCCCCATCCATCCATCCATCCATCCATACATACATACATACACAGGCTGTGGTGCTGGGATCCTGCCAAGCTCTGCCAGCCTTGGGCTTGGGGAGATTTCTGCCAGATGTCCTGAGCTCCGTAATTGTGCTCTCTGTTCCAGGAAGCAAGCAATAAAGATTTTTAAAAAACCCAAAACAAACCACAACAGAGAAACCTAAAAAACCTTCAACAGCTCAACCCTGCTCAAGTTATTTCTTTAGGGACAGCTACCACTCTCCAGCTGACATGCTGGGCTTTTGGGGAAAAAGAAAATTACATGTTCATCTCCAAATTGAAAAGGATTAAGGTAAGAGAGAACCTTTCAAACTAAAAATTATTGGCCCAAAGCTTTTACCTTTGCAAGAAATCTCTAGTTTAGACCGGGCTGACAGTTAAACAACTGGTTCTTCTGGTGGGGAGAAAACCTCCTCTTTGAGGGAAGCAGCCTGATAGTTGAAAGCAACTGTTTTGTCAAACTTCAGGCTCCCTGGCACAGCCTGCATTGCCTGTCCTTCCTGTTCACTGATTTACAGGCAGTGCCACAATGGCCCAGGTTCACATGTTTGGTGCCATCCAGGGAATTTGGCATTGCCATGTCCATATGTTTTAATAGAAGTTTAAATCCTTGCAACCACTCTTCAAATGTCAGCTTTCCTTTTTTTTTTTACAGAAAGCTCAAGGTTCCCAGAAGTCTTCTGACGTCCTCTTTTGTGCTCAGAGAGATGACATTTTCAAACAGATGTTTCCAAAGTTCACAGCATTTGAAAGAAGAATGAACTGAAATGCCCCTGGATTCCAGCTTAGCCGAACTCCATTCTGTGTCAGACACTGAGATTGCCACCTCTAAGGCAGGAGCTGTTTGTGCCACCCATCCCTCCTGTCCTTCTCCCCAGCAGCCTGGGCCTGTTTTCCCCGGCAGAATCCCTGTCCCTGTGCACCCTGCCAGGAGCAGTTGCACACAGGCACACATCTCCCCTTGCCCTCACCAGTGGGTTTCTCTCATCCCCGAACACGCCGATGACAACGTTGGTGCGATGAGTGCCCAGGGCCTGCACTTCCACCACAACTGGGATCTCTGCTGTGCTCTGGGGCTGCACAATCCCACAGGGCTTGGGGCTGGAGTAGAGCACAGCAGAGTCCTCCTTGCGTTTCTGGAAGGGACAGAATGAAATGCAACTTCAGAGGCACCTCTGAAGAAACTTTAGACTCCTTAACATCCACTGCAACAGCAACTTACACGCACGTTTCAAACTCCCCAGCACAAAGGTAAAAGGCACAAACAAGATGCAAGAATTGTAGGCTTAGCACTCCCAGGGGATCCTGCAAGGAGGCTGCCAGCACAGGCATTGGTGTCAGTGGATGCAGCAGCTTTTCACAACCCTCTAAGATCTCCCACAAGAAAACACCCTGAAGACCAGAACATCAACTGTTTCCTCAGGAGCTTCAACTGACTCCTAAAGTTTACAGTCAGGTAGGATCCTGCTCTCAGCAGATCTTTAGGACTGAAGAGAAACCAGCAAGGTCTTGTCCAAACCCTTTTTTCCCCCTTAATAATCTCCTCAGTAATATTTGACAGAAGGAGGTGGATGTGATGCCAAACCTGGGGAATGAGCCCGTAGCAGCCAGGAAGGTGGCTGGGATTCCTAATGATGAGCTTCCTCTCATATGGCACCTTCAGGTGGCACTCATCGTACAGCAGCACTTGGGGGGACACTTGGAGCTCAGGAACGAGACATCTGGGCAAAGAGATGACCCCAGGGGAATCAGAGATACTGAGAGAATGGAGAACGTTTCCCCCCAAAGATTGTGAAATGGAGCAGAACACATTGGTCACTGTCAAATGCACACTGAACAGCCCTACAGGGATAAATTGCCTTCTACCCCTTCCCACTCCAACATGTCTTGTCAAGGAGGGGCAAACCCTGAGAGGCAGCACCCAGAGGCTGCCCAGTGCCCCAGGCAGAGCACTTTGAGCCACAGCTGCCTCAGCCCCTCCTTTACCCAAGAAGGCTTGCAAGGACTCCTGGAACAGTCCCAGTGAGCCACGAGCTCTGGGGGAGCCTTCCCAACAAGGATCAGTGCTCCCTAAGGCTCAAGGAACACACAACTCCAGTGTCTCAGTACAAATGACTCCCTTCTCTCCCATGGTGCTGTTGCCCTGCCTGAGAACTCAGCTCTTTGCCCCAGCCTTGGAGGGCACGAGACAGCAGCTGCCCCACAGAGTGGCTGATCAGCCCCTGCCAGGCCCTGCAGCTCCCTGGCTCCTTCACTGCACAGCTCCAGGCCCTGCCTGGCCCCAGCTCCACCTGCTTTACAGAATGGCAGCCCAGGCACTGCCTGGATGGCTCTGCCTGGGACAGGGAACAGCACCAGGGAGCTGCATCCCTCTTGGCATTCAACTGACACCACAGCAGCACAGCAGCATGGAATTCTGCTGCAGCAACAACGACTTTTGGTCTCAACCCTGACAACATTAAAGCTCAAATTGGGAAGCAGAGGGAAGGAGAATAACTGGAGCTGACCTGCCACATCAAGGGCTGCTTTCCCCTCGTAAGACCTTGCCCTCACCACTCTTGCTGGGAGCCACTTCCCCCCTGCCATGTGCCCTCATGGACAGAGCCAGACCCTGACTCTCAGCAGGCTGCTTGGTGTGGCCCAAACCAGTGCACGGTGCTCACAACCAGCACAACTCCACCTCTTGCAGAAGAAGGAGAGGAGGCTCTTGGGAAATTTGTTCCACCTCAAGCACCAAAAACCAGGCCAAGAAATGATATCATTCCTGGTGCCTTTAGCAGAGGGCCCAGGACCGTGCTGGCTGTGAGCAGGGGTGCTTTTCACCACAGGCTGCTGCCCAAGCACTGCTGTTCCCATGTCCAGCTGGCACAACATGAGGCCATTAAGCAGCATTTCTCCTTGGCAGCTGCAGCCAGCAAAGCCTGTGCGAGGCAGTGCCTGGGGGGCCAGGCAAGGGCTGGTACCTGGCTGTGAGGATCAGGGTTGCCACTCCCTTGCCAATACCCTCCAGGTCCACCAGCATTCTCCTGTAGAACTCCATCACCGTGTTGGAGCACAGGGTCACCTGGTGGAAGAGAAGAACAGTCAATTCTTCCTTACAAAAGCTCATTACCCACGGGTGATATCCTCCAGTTCCTGAGGGAGGATTTGGCCTTAATTCTTCTGCTGCTCCATGTGTAGAGCACAGTCTCAGAGTAACAAAAGCCTTCTGGCAATGCCAGATTTGTTAAACACCCCTTGCTATCAGGCCATAGGTCACCTACATTAAAACATTAGACTAAAGCTCTATGCACCACTGCATTCAAATTAAGGGGCCAATTTTTCATCTACAATGAGAAATGCAACTACAATGACATCCATGCAGAGGAAATCTGACTTGAACACAGCGAGTTCAGCTTCACAGGAGGAAGCTGAGGGCAAAGTGTGGCCCAGCAGGTGCTGGGCAGTTCATGGCTGCAGAGTTTTTTGTCCCCACTGGAGATTCCTGCAGTGAACACACATCATCCTGCTCCCCAGGAGAGGGGAAATGAGACCAAGAAGAAAAGCTAACTGCTTTATCCAATGACATCTCTCTAAAGGCCACCTTCTGCCCTCATCCTTGCTCTGCCCACTTGCAATCAAATAAATCTCTCTCAAAAACACAAGAATGGCTTCAGGCCTTGACCATAAGGTATGTGACCTCAGCATATGAATTTGGAAACCAAACAGTGCTCCTTGAGGAACATCCCGAGTAAGCCAGCTAGCAGAGGCCTCCCAGCAGTGCAGATCTCTCACTGCCAGGATGCTCAAAGCTGGCACCAGAGCTAAAGCCCTCCCACACCGCAGTGCAGCTTCAGCCCTGGTGCTGCAGCGTCTGTGGCTGGGCTCTTGCCGTACCTCGATATCCTGGTGTCCCTGGGGCAGGATGGTGCCTTGGCTGGGATTCATGGTGAACTCCCTGGGCTCCACATAGAAATGGATTCCCTTCCTCCAGGCCGGGTCAGTGTCCCTGCGGATCTGATCCACGCTGTCCACAGCCGGCTGCGTGCCATCGTCCGACATGCGGAGCTGGAACGTCAGGGGCACCGGGGAGCTGTTGGTGAGGCGGCAGCGCCGCGTGTAGGGAAAGCCTGGGGAAGGACACAAATATCCATTCAGGCACCCATTAGGGCATGATCCTGGGGGGAATATCCTGGCAGGATGAAAGTGGGATTGGAGTTGAGCTCTTTATTAGCTGAACTACAGCTCAGCGAGAAGCTGCGTGAGGAATGAATCCTCACTGAGTTCCCTTTGACACAGATTCCAGACTGCAGCCTTGAAAATGCCCACTCCTAGCCCTGCTCAACACTGCAAGCTTCTCTCTTTGTGATAGGGAGGAGCTCCCTCACCTGCCCCAAACCAGCACCAGTTCTCTCTCAGTGATGAGTGTGCACCCAAACCCAGCATTTACTCTGAGAATTCAAGCTGTCAAATTCCCTGGTCAGCCTGCCAACACTCCCACCGTTTTCAAGATATATAAACAGTGAGTCGTCATTGAGAAGAAGCTACAGCAAAAGGAAGTGAGGATGGAATCAGGAACTAGAACGTGATGCAAAGCACCCTAATGCAGCTTGTCTCTGCAGGACCCTTAAGGCATCTCTTGGTTTGGGCCAAACTGACTGAGCACGTGACAGCTCAGAGCCCACTCAACTGGGGGCACACCCAAGCCTTGCTTTGAGATTAGCAATTAGGAACCAGGTCCCACCTCACCCAACAAACGGGGATATCACAGCCATGCTGCTCACTATGATTGCTGCCTGCAAGGGTTTCCCCCACTTTAGCTCTGAGATTTGCTTTCCACCCCACAAAGCCAGAGATACAGCCACTCATGGTGGGGATGTCCTGCAGAGCCCACAGAGCAGCCACAGCCTGCTCTGCAGTGCACATCTGGCTGGGCTGGCAGCTCTGTGGGGAGGAGACTTCTCCCCAGACCTGCTCACCAAGAGTCACTGGAACACAGATGGGGAGAAAAAACAACTGCAGCTGCAGCCCAGAGCTTCTCTGTGCCCATCCAAGTGACCACTGCCAGCTCCAGCAGGGACTCCAGCAGGGAGGCAAAGAGAGGCACAAAAAGGACAAACCCAGATGTCAAAACCTCAAATGAGACTGAGGCCAGCACATGCAGACAACAGTCAACAGTTACAAAGAAGCAAAGATACAACAGCTGCCTGCAGCTGAAGAGACCTTAGGAATGAAATGGCATTCAGCAGGATCAATCTCCTGCTTCAGAACCATATTTCCATCTGTTGCCTTTCTTGTTTCATTTCTTCAAAAGGCAACTTGACAACTGCCTCCGTGGTGATGCAGGCTGGGGCAGAAGCAGCTCAGGAAAGGCAATGAGTTTCCATCAGAAGTTCATGAACTTCATTGTTCTGGGTTTAGGCTTGGCAGTGAATGTTGCCCTTGGTCTGGGAAGGGGGATAGGGGTTTGGGGGGGTTTTGGCCCTGGGCTGGGCTTTTCCGTTGGGGGTTTTGGGAGTTGTGGCGTGATGCCGTGGGCGGCTGTGCAGTGGGAGCTGAGGCAGGGCAGGGAGCGGAGCTTCCCTTCCTCCCGCTCGGGGATCGCAGCTCGGCCGCTGCTGCTGCGGGAGGTTGTGTGCTTGGCCCGGGACTGCCCTGGCTGCAGCTCAGCGCTGCCATCGACCCTGCCTGCCTGCCCCGCTCCTGCCTGCTGCTGCTGGGCACTGCCCACATCCCCCTGCCCTTTGGGGGTTTGCAAAAGGAGCATTCCCTCCTTCCCTTCCCTTCCCTTCCCTTCCCTTCCCTTCCCTTCCCTTCCCTTCCCTTCCCTTCCCTTCCCTTCCCTTCCCTTCCCTTCCCTTCCCTTCCCTTCCCTTCCCTTCCCTTCCCTTCCCACACCGGCTGGGAGGGGATCCCTGCCCTGCCAGAGCCCACAGCTCCTCCTGCTGTGACCACAACTCCACCAAAGGGGAAAAACGGGACTTGGCCCCTGGGAAACCTCTGTTCTTGCCTTCTTGTCTGTGCTCTCCTGAGATAGTCTAGGAAAGAACTGTTATTCCTTTTCCCATAGTTTTGCCTGGGAGCCCTGTCATTTCAAAGGGATAATAATTGGGAGGGAGGGGCTCATCTTTCCATTGCAGGAAGATTCCCACCTTCCTTGGCAGACATCTGTCTTTTCAAGCAGCACAGAGACACCAGAAAATACTGACTTTCTATTCCTTGCTCCTATTGGATTTCACAATGGCAAAATGCCCCCCGAGGCAGCAGCCCTGCAGCCCTGCAGTTGACAGCCTGAAGAGGCTGCTGGGGCAGACCAGGAGTGAGGGATGCTTTTCTGTTGGAAGGCACAGATCCCTGACGCTGTGTCCCAGCCCAGGCAACACTCACCAAAGGAGATGTCCCCGAAGTCGAGCTCAGGGAGGTCGAAGTGTACACTCGGTGCAGTGACGCTGCCCCTGGAGGCCGAGGACAGAGCAGGAAAGGGCTCGGTTAAAGGGATTGCAAAGGTCCGGCTGTCGTGGCTCGGGGGCACAAAACCTGGGCTCAGGGCACCCTGGGTTTCCAACCAACACAGCACCGTGTGCTCAGCACAGGGCCCTGTGCACAGGGGGCAGCTCACGCCAAGTGGCAGCAGCCAACAGCCCCTGATGGGCTTTGGGCACAGGGCAGGCAGGAGAAGCCCCCGGCTTGCTGGGGGTCCCATGAAGGACCCTGAACACACACCCAGACAGGGCTCCGTGCCTCAGTTTCCCCATCTGCAAGGGGATGGACATCAAGGTGTGCCCACAAACTTCTGTAAGCAGCCCTTCCAGCCACAGGTGCCCTGCTTTGCTCCTTCTTAGCTGCAACTGCTGTTCCCATGGAGGAGCTTTCTCAGGAGAGTTTGACCCACCCAATCATTACAGACAGGGTTCTGAGACACAAATCCAGGGCATTCCCAAACATCCTCTGGAAAGAGCAGCAACAGTTCTACCCAGGGGACAGATGAATCCTAGAGGAAAGGACCAGCTTGTCAGCAGTGCCCCAGCTGGCACAGCCAAGAGCAAGAGCTGCAACAAGCAAACAAGGCTGTCCTGAATCTAGCACAGCACCTCACCTGGCCTTGAACTCAGCAGACACACTCCAAAAGTCACCAACATCCACTGAAATCAGCACTTGAAGCTGCACAACACTCACCAGTTGATTTCATGGTTGATGCCAATCAATGCCCACTCTGCCTTTTGGTTCCAAATCAAGGAGCAGTGACCTGGGCCTTGTGTTGTATTCACAGGACTGCCCCTGGCTCTGCTCTGCACATCTCAACAAGAGACACCTGCCCTTGCTCCAGGAGAAAGCTGCTTATGCACAAACACCCCATGACCACTTTGGGGGAGGGACAGAGGAGAATCAATTCTTTGATGGTGAAAGGTTCCCTCTTGATTTCCAAAAGAAAAAAAACAGCACTTTTCCTCCAAAAACAAAGCCAGCATCATGGTTTCTCCACTATGGGCACACCTACTCACCACTTTTCTCTTGCTAAGGAGTAACTTCCTTGTTCTTCTTTATCCATCTCCCTTATCTTATTGCTATCATCCAGTGCAGATTGCTTTCATTTCTTGACTGCCTTGAGCCAGTGCCTCCCAAGAGCAGCAGCCCAGCTCCAAAGCTGCAGAGCAGCCAGCATCAGCTCTCCTGCTTCCACTGCATTATCCTAGCAGCAGATGGCTCAGGCTGGCAGGGCCAAGGCCTCACGCTGCTGTGGTGCTGAGGACTGAGCTCTGCCTCCCCTATGGTCAGCCCTTCTCCCTTTGGCTGGGCCAGGATTGTCTCTTGCCATGGCACCAGCCCACGGGATGGTGCCCCAGTCCTTGGCACAGTTCCTGCTGCACAGTTCCCTGACTCCCACATCAGCCCTTTGCTGGCTGTGCAAAGGAGGCACCAGAGCACTCTGTGCACAGGAGCTGGGAGCACAGCTTGTCCCCCACAGCATGGCCATGAGAGCTGAGCTGAGGCTGCTGCTGCCCATCTGGCATGGATTATTCACACAAGGTTTTACAAACACTGCTGCTGCTGCAGAATCACCCAGGCTGGCCCATCTGCAAAGCCCTGGGGGCCTTGCTGGGTGTTCAGCTGGGACATCCCAGAGCAGCTGCTGCCCAAAGCTGATCCATCCCACTGCCTGCCATGGCCCAAGGCACAGGGAGGATCCCTGCAGGGAGGAGTCATTCCAGCTGCCAGGCACCACCCAGGGCAGGAGGCATCCTCACACTAAAGCAATGCCAGCAGCAGAGCAGACATTCAGACCTTTTTTCTCTGCTCCAGCCCAAAAGGAGGTAGGTGGGGGATGTCCCAGAGACAGCCACAGATGTGCCCACCCAGCTGCCAGGGTCCTTACTTGATGGTCAGGATGGCAGGCCTAGGAGATCCAGCCACACTGAACTGGAACTCTTCCTCAAAGCTCCCCAGCACGGTGGCACTGAAGGAGATCTGGACACTCTGGCTCCCACCTGCTGCAATGATGCCCTCCTCGGGTGCAAACTTGAAGCACAAGCCCACGTTGCTGCCTGAAGGGATACGGGTGAAGGGAGCATCAAGAGCTCCTTGGTTCATCAGTTTCACCTGCAGCAGCAAGAAAGCAAAGTGGAAATACATGTGGAACCTTCCCTTCTTGTGAGTTCTTGGCTAATGATGCAATGAACACCCAGCAAAGGCAGAAGATGCTTTGTGCTGCTGAATGGCAGAAGTCAAAAGATACAACAGGACAAGTTCTGCCTTTGGGTTCTCATGCAGAGCAGTGGCAACTCCACAGAACTGCAGTCACCCTGGGCTTATCCCATGGACACAGAGCAGTGCACCTCTGCTCAGCAGCACCCAGCTCACTGGGAGCTGGCCCTGAGAGCAACGTGGGCTGATTGCAGCTGCGGAGTGAATCACCCCAGAGCTGCTGCTGCCCCACTGAGCACAGCTCCAACAGCACCATCTACTCATTCACCTTTTCCCATACCATCAAAACAATACATTGAGAGTGAGGCATCAGCATCAAAATGTACAGACAGCACCATCTCTTGGTAAGAAAACTCAGGGTGTCTTTCTCTTCCCCAGCCAAGCTTTTGAAAGTGTCTGGCACAATGCAGTGCTTCATTTTCTACCTCTTTCAGTTGCTCTCTCATGAAGTTTTTGCAAGCTTGACACTATTGGGGGGAGGCAAATAGGTAGAAAAATCCTTTTGTTTAATTCCCATGAACACTTTTCTCTTTCTAGAGCCAGAGATGCAGCAAGGCTGAAGTGTGGTGAGGGACTGCTCAGCAAGGGAGAGAACTCCCAAGACTTTCCTGTCACTTGCAGGAATAAGCAGGGACACTTGACTGGGAGCTGTTGCAGTGGGCTGAAGGAAAAGCAGCCAGTTTGTTGCAGCTGCTTCTGCAGAGCCCAGTGCAAAGGTGCCTTGTGTCTGGCACTGCCACAAAAGCCTCTGAACATGCAGCTTTTGGAGCCAGTGCTGGGTTCATGGGCCAAGGGCTTGTTTTGCAGGAAGCCTTCACGCTGATCCCTAAGGAAGGCTGCCCAAAAGCAGGGACTGGGGCTTCAGGAACAACAGACACACCTTTCTGACCCCCCCAGATTTGAGCAGTGCATCAAATATTCCCTACTCACAAGTGCCCAGGTTGGCAGCAATTCCACAGCTCCACCAGGCTTGCTGCTGCCAAAGGAGCCATCAGGATCCATCCCAAGCCCTGCTGCTCACCTCACAGACATGGGGGGTGTTGACAAAAACGTTCCCAAGGTTCAGAGTCTGAGAGCTGAGTTCAACCAAGGGTCCTTGGCCTTCCCCTCTGAGCTGCAGGGGCAGCCTGCTCTCATGGCCTGGGGAGAGATGTCCATTGCAGTACAATCATTGCCTCTGTCACACTGGATTTTCCAGGCTGCCTCAGTGCTAGTCCCTGACTCTGAGCTGGATGCAACCAGCTCCTGATGCTGCAGGAGAAGATATGCACCCTTCTCTTCCCTCAGGAGAAATCCCTTGGGGCTGACTCCTAATTTCTAACCCATTCCTTGCGCTGCTTTCCAATTTGAGCCACCTGTTTGCTGAGTTTAAAACATCTCTGGTGTCCTGTAGTGACAGGCCAAGGAGTAATGGGTAGAAATTGAGAGAACGGAGATTTAGGTTAGATATTAGGGAAGAAATTTTTACAGTGAGGGTGGTGAGGCACTGGAGCAGGTTCCCCAAGGAAGGTGTAGAGGTTCCAGCCCTGCAAGTGTTCCAAGCCAGGCTGGATGGGGCTTGGAGCTACCTGCTCTAGGGGGAGGTGTCCCTGCCCATGGCAGGGGCCTTGGCACCAGATGATCTTTAAGGTCCATTCCATCCTTAACCCACTGTGATTCTGTGGTTTCCTTCCCATGCACCTAGAGGAGCTTTGAAATCCATTCAGTGCAGGCACAAAGCTCATACAGAGTTTGGCGATTACCAAACTCCCAGGCCCAGGAGCACAGGACTTTGTTGCCCAAGTGCTCCCCTTCTGACACTCAGCACTGTGTTCTATTTGCACAGACTGAGAGCTGCAAGGGGACAACTCCCACACAGGGAGAGAAGCAGCTGCTGGCCAAGGGGGCTCCCTCTACAAACAGCCTGGGCTCAGTGGGGCTCAGCCACCTCTGCTCTGCTGCTGTCTGGGCACTGGGAGGTGATCCAGGCTCAGGGAGCCCATTTCTAACTCAGCTCCCACCTGATGATGGATCCATGGCAAATGGACCCATCCTGGAGGCCAGGGGCCTGGAGGGCCTTAGTGCTTGTTCACTAAAGCTGTTCTGCTCTGGAGCTCTCTGGCCTTTGAGGGAATGCTGGCAAAGCCATGGCATGAAAACCTCTCCCTGCACTGCCTGGGCTGTTCTGGGATCAGTCAGGCAGACACAGCACTCTGAGCCCTGGCCTGGCACGGGAGACTCCCTGGAAGCTGCAGGGCCAGGGGGGATGTGCCAGCACTGCCCTGCTGACCAGGGACTCTTCCCAGCACTTCCATGGGAGCCCAGTGGGCTCAGGCTTGCACCATGGCTTCACTGAGGGGGAGAGAAGCAGGGCAAAGGAGCTGCACCTGAGATGCTGCAGTAAGCCACACTTCCATACTCCAGTGCTTCCAGGGGCTTGAAGGTCACCTTGATTTCAGCTGAACAATTTGGCCCAATTTCTCCCTCCTACAGCAGAAAGAGACTGCAAAACATTGCTCTGCAAACTTCACATTGCTTGTTTTCACCACACTCCTGTAGGCCTTTGTTTAGAGCATCAGTGATGAGTGAACAACACAAGGAGCCAAGGAAACACTCCAAACCCAGCTCAGCACAGCTCTCAATGCTCAGCTGATCAGCTCCCACTCTCCACAATATTCCTGCTGCTCTGACATAAGCTCTTGGCCACATCATGCTCCTGTCAGCTACAGTGGGATGCAACTGCCACTGTGCACTGCTGGCTCTCAGCCTTAGATGGGCCATAGGAGTAAGCAAGAAGAGAACATGATCCCCTTCCTTGAAATGCAAATATTAGTTCAGCTGTTTTGAAAGAAAGCAGAGGTTGGGATTATTCGGGGCTTTACTCCAAGATGAGAAGGGGTTTTGCACTGTGCAGACACCAGGCATTCATCTCTCCCAATGCCAGTACTCAGAATCAGGGCTCTGCTGGATGGGAGCACGTGGCAGTTTGCTTGCATCAGCAGAAAAGGAAAAGGTTTTCTGTCCCTGTGTGCAGGAGAACTCCAAAGGCCCATTTCAACCTTGCACCCTTGTGTCCAGGCTCACAGATGACACTGGAAGGCAGACTCAGAAATAGTGCAAGGCGTGCTCACAGGAGGGGATTGGCATTTCTGTCATTAACCTTGGGCTGAATTTGGCCTCCTTTTGCCAGGGAACCATTGCAAGCTTCAGGTCAGTGTGTGAGCTGGCAGTGCTCCAACAGCCTCTGCTGAGCCCCACGTGTGGGGGGAGCCCCTGCCTACAAGAAGTGCTCCCTGTGACACTGCAAGGACACGCACGCGGGGCCTTGAGCTCCAGCCTGGCAGCAGAGCTGGGCTTTGTCAGGCTCCCAGCCCTTCCTTGAGCCTGCAGGGCACAAATGCTTTGAGCAGGGAGCTCTGCAGCCGCTCCAGGAACTCCATGTCCTCCCTGCCAGCACATGGGGCCAGCTGAGGATCTGCCCAGTGACCGCAGCCGGGGCAAGGGGTGGGTGTAGGGAGTAGGGCGGGTGGGAGGAGGAGAAGGAGGAAGAGAATGTTCTCAGCTATCACTCACCATTGGCTCAATGACAAAAATGTCATGGGAGAACAGCATGGGGTCTTCTCGCACCTTTGCCATCTTCTCCTGGACCATGCTGCTCAGGAGGGCACTGTGATCTCCACTAAAGCTCTTCACCTTCTCTGTTTCTTTCTCCTCTGGGAAGTTTTCCTGGGACACCTCTTTCTGCAGCTGCAGCAAACACTGCCTGCAGCCCCAGGGAGAGACAAGGCCAGCAGATGGTTTCATGAGCCACAGATTTGCAGAGAGAAGTGGGAGAGCAGGAGAGCAAAGCACCTGGGGAGGAGCAGCAGCAGCAGCTCCCCAGCAAAGGCTGAGCCCAAGCCACAAGGGTCCCACATGGATCAGAGGATAACTTGCTGTTCACTGGCACAGCAGGGACTTTTACTCCACACTTGCAAGCTCAGCAGAGGTTTCCAAAGCCAGCAGCCCTCCAGAGAAGCTCCTGCCTCAAAGCCTCTGCCACAGCTGAGGGAGAATCCAGCGGCCACCTCAGCTGGCTTTTCCTCCCACTGAGCTGCTCGGGGGAGGCACAGAAAGATCACAGAGCACCCACTGCAGCACTTCCCTGGCAAGGGGAGACCAAGCTGGCTTGCAGCTACGTGTTACCAGCATCACTCTTTGTTTCTTCCATTTTGGACCTGCCCCGTTCCCTGCTCTGTCTTTCACAAGAGCATCCCAGAGCACTTCCAAAGGAGATTGATGAATTCAGGCACCCAATCCCTTCAGTGACATTCAAGGTTTCATATGCAATATGCATGAAAACAGAGCCTCTGAGAGGCAAAGGGACTTTGTCATGCAGGAGGGAGACAGCAAACTCCTGGAGAGACCTTTTCATGAGCCAGAGCTTTTTGGCTCCCATCCCAGTGCATGGCAGTAGAATGTCCTGAGAGGGAAAGGATCCTGCATTATCTACTCTCATAAAAAATCCTCTCTGCTCTGAGAGCTCAAAAGCTTCTCTGACAGCAGGACAGGGGGAGACAACCAGCCCCCATGGGCAAGGAGCTTTTGAAGGAACTAAGGGGAAAAAAGAGGGTGTATCACCTTTGGAAAGAGGGACTGGCAACTCAGGAAATGTTTAGGGATGTTGCCTGGTCATGTAGAAAGGAGATTAGAGAGACAAGAGCCCAATTAGAACCTGAGGAAATCCAGTCATCACAATCAACCTTTCCTTCCCAAAATGCCGTCCCTGGCTGGACTATCAATGAACTGAAATGCTGAGTGCTGAGCTCCTGAAGCCCAGGGACACACACCCCAGTGCCAGGCATGGGTTACTTGGCCTAAACCATTCCAAAGCACCAACACCCCCTGAGGCCACACGTCAGTTTCAGTCTTGGGCCTGTATCTCACTGAAATGCATCTTTCAAACCAACCTCCTCTTCTCTTCATTCTCTTCTTCCTCACTAGGAAAAGCCTTCCACTGGAAGTGGGCTGTGATGTTACTCCTGTTTTCAATGAACAGGGTTCTGTGGCTTGACATGGTGATGAAAGTCTTGTCAACCTCCACGGAATCTGTGCTCAACCCAATGTTGACATCTACAGCTTCTCCGTGGAGCTTTGTGTGGATTCTTTCTTCACCTGGAACAAAGCAAAGGGGAGTCTTTGCTCAGCTCACTGGCTGATGGAAGCACAAGGAACAGAGCAAACCACAGGGCACAGAAGAAAGTGTCACAGTTTTGAGCTGAATGAGCAGTTCTGTGGATCAGTCCATTTATCACATCCTGACAGCTCTGTGTGTAGAGCGTGGGGATGTCCTGGGCAGCTCCTTAAACACCTTATTTCTGAGGGTGTTTGTAGAGATTTGGCCCCAAGGTGACGGTATGGGCAGGGAGATTGGTCCATGTGCTCCGGTGACCCACTCAGGTCACCGGGATTTCTGCATCCAAGTCCTTCAGGTGACAGGGCTGAGGAGCCCTGTTCAGCCCTGCCTTGCCCAGGGTCTCCCCGGGCATCCCAGGAGACTCCTGTCTCACCTGATGCCTTGGATCCCTTCTTGCTGACCAGCAAATATGCCTGGGGGCAGGTGGGCAGCAAAAGGAGGCCCAGAGGAACAAGTGAAGGGACAGCCCACAGCAGGAGGGGACACAGGTGAGGAAACGCAACCCGCCTGGCTCTGCAATGTGACAAACCACTACAAAATGAGCACCATGACAATCATCATCATCATCTCCCTGTCCAAACCCACAGCCACATCAGTCTTGAAATATTTTATATTGTTCTGATCTGAAAAACCAAGCTGGAGCATTGCAAATCAAATAAGAAAGGGACAAAGGAAAGATTAGTGAGTACAGAGCAGTTTCTACATTAAGACTGAATGGGATTCCTCAGTCTAGAAATCAAATGGGAGATAGATGTGAGAGGTTTGCAACAGCGTGAACAGCCTGGGAAATGGGGACAGGGAAAAATTTGTTTGGATTTGTCACAACAAAGGAACTTGAGGGCCTGAAAATGTTGTTGTGCAGAAACTACATCTATGTGTAAGGGCCACATAGAGAAAGGATCTGTGACAAGCCAGTGGAGAAGCAGCATATGGGACAGAGGTGTGCAAGAAATCCATTGCATTGGAGAGAGTCTGATGGAGACCTCACCTACAGCACTGTCCAGGAATCAAATAAAACTTCACCCAGGCATAGCCACATGGTAGTGGAGAATCAGGGATCCTCCTTCCTCCACTCAGCAACTCCAGCAAAACAGGAGTCCAAAATCTTTGCCTTTGTTAGAGGGGATCCACTTTCTCAAGCCCCTGAACACCAAGGAGTTCTCAGTTTGCTTTGGGGTAAAGCTGAACAGGGAAGGCACCTCTAGAGGGAATGCAGGGGATGGGACAGCAGGGAGCCATGTGGAGAACTGTCCTGTGCCCTGCAGGGCCCAGCACTCACCTGAGCTGCAGCACACGGCCAGGGAGCCGCAATGGGCACCGCTGGCCAGCGGGTGAAATGCCACTGTCACCTGCACGGTGTCACCAGCGCCCAGAGCTCCTGTGGCCGGCACCACGGAGAAAGGACTGCAACACAAAGAGAGGCATCAGGCCTGGGGGACACCTGGCCATGAGATTCCTGCTGCACTGCAGCTCCCTGCAGCTCCCTTGGGCAAGCAGGGAGCAAACCAAGCACAGGCAGCAGAAGACAGCCAGAACAGACAGGATCAGAAACAGCCACTGAGCCACTGCTGAGGAGATCCAGCCCTCACAAGATCCTGGGGGTAAAATGACCTCAGCTCCCCCATACTCTGCATCCAGCTCTCTGCAATGAGGCTCAAGGGTCCCACTGCCAGCAATCCCAGCAGAGAATGGTTGGTGAAAAGCACAGAGAGGGTTCAGAGCTATCTGCATGCACAACTTGACACTGACTGCCTCAGGAATTTCTCTTTTCCTGCTGCCTATAAACCTCATCTCAGGAGATGCAAATGTTAGGGCACTCCCTGTCCTGGGAGATTACAGCCTAGGAATCAGACAGGGAGAAGGAACTTTTCTCTCAAGACCAAGGAATAGTTACTGTTGAATTTGCAGTGTGGTTCTTTGGTTTCTATGCCCTTGAAAACATCCTTTTGTCCAAAAGGATGGTTTTTGTCCAAAAAGGACACATTTTATCAGCATTTCAATGGAAGCTCCTCTAAGAAAAGGAGCAATCAAAACTCTGAAAGAGTGCAAATGCAGATTAGAGCAATAGAGTGACATGGAAACAAGACCCAAAAGGAGGATGCCATTTACAGTCTGAAGGGTCCAATCCCAGCTAAATGAAGCACCATGAGCAGGAGCACATCAAGGAAGCTGAACAGGAGGTTTCTCTGTGTTTACCAGCAATGCAGTCTGGGACTATGGGCTGTCATGCAGGCTGGTAATTGTTTGCTTGGCCCAGCAGAGAAACTCTATGCAATGTGTTGGAAATAATGATGCAGATGTGTTGGTGCACTTTGGATTTACCAGGAGCAATCAGGATTGGTCACCAGGTAAACAGCTCTTGCCTTACAAACACAAGACACTGTGCTTTGATGCTCAGGGAGAGCTCAGGGGAAATGTGCTTGTGCCCAGCAGCTGCTGGGCTTTGTGCTCTTCTACAGCCCCAGGGAGGAAACAAAAGTTGCTGGCCTTGGTGCTTTGCTGCTGGTCAATGTGTCACTTCAAAGTGTCTTCTGGGGACTTTGGTGATGAATGCATCACACACAAAAACAAAGAGAGCATCTGGCAAGCTGAACTTTGTTCATGTCAGTAGTGACAGCTGATGAACTTGCTTCAGGTTCTGCTCATTCAGGACCTCTTGCTGCAGTGATGGGCTGAGCTGTTCCCATTCCCACTGGTGAGAACATCACTGCTGGCTGATGGGGAAGCCTTGGGCCAGCAATGTTCATGTGCTGGACGTGAGACTTTGGAGGGAGGGGAGGAAAGACAAGGCCCCAGCAGCCCCAGAGCCAGATCAGTGCACGTGCTCCTGCATCTGCCCCGGGGCTGATGCCAGCACTGCTGCAGCTCTGCTGGGGCTCGGGGGGATCAGGGCCTGCTGGGGGCAAGGCACAGCATTCTTCTCTTAGTCTTTTGCCAGAAATTTCATCAGAACAGAGAAGCTGCCTCTTAGGGGAATCCCAGGCCAGACTTCAGCACTACCTTCCATTCCATTCCATTCCATTCCATTCCATTCCATTCCATTCCATTCCATTCCATTCCCACTTCTGCCCCATGTTACATGCTCCCATGCTCCTGCCTTCAGATGGCAGGATGGGAATAACATCCTAGGGGTGACTTCAGGGCTTGCCTGAGAAAGAAGGCAAGTCTTCTTCTTTTCAAATTATCAGGAGAAAAGGATCCAGCCAAGTTCAGGACTCAGTTGTCAGGACTGAAAAACTGAGTGCAAATCAGCCCCTGCATCTCCTACATCCCTGGGCTGTACCCACCAGACTCCTCTGTTCCTGCTGTAGCAGTCATCTCTCACACAGACCTGGCTCCCCAAGACCCAAGGACACAAGCTCTACAGCTAAACTTAACTCCTCTCAATTTCAGCCAACATCACTAAGCTGTTCCCTGAGCCCACAGATAGAAGAGCTGTGAAGGACACATCCCTGACACGGTAAGAACCCAATGAAAACCACTGCCAAGAGATGGGGCTGGCAAGCTAAATGTTGGCCTTTTCTCTGTTCATTGTGAGCTGCTCCTTAAGACACTTCTCATCCTGTTAGATCCATCCTCTCAATGAATCACTACTGCACCTGACAGGCAGAAAAGATAAGGGATGGAGGGGGTTTTAATAGGTTCTTTTCTTCTGCTTTTTAACTAGGTCCATTGACATGTCTGTTTCCTTGTATGGCATCTAAAGACAGGCCCAGATCTCCCAGTGGCACCTTGCAATCCCCAGACACTGCTCTTGCTTTGAGCAGTGTGTGTGCTCAGATGATTTCCAGAGCTCCCCTCCAGGACCACTGCAAAGCCACGTGCCTGTGGCCTCCCAGAGAATGGCTCTGTTTGGCTGACAGTGCTGAGGAAGCATTTCAGAAGCTGCTGGTGCTCAGCAGGGTGCAAGCCAGCTACCAACATGTTCCAGCAGCCTCCAGGAAATCTGGGACAGAGAAAGCTCCAAGGCCGCTGAAAGCAAGAGCAGATGCCATCCATGCTGCTCACTTCCAGCCAGGCTGCAGGGCAGCAGCTGCAATGCTCTGGCTCCTTTTGCTGCTCTTCCCCAACCCTGCCCTCTCCCAAAGGTGTTTTGCACAGGGACAGATGAGCTGCCTCACCTCTGGGTGCTCAGCTGGTACCGAGCTGCCCGGGCACCGACATTGCGCACCAGCAGAGTCTGCCGGGTGCTGACCTTGACTGGACACTTGGAGAAGTCCAGCTGGGCAGGGAAGTCCAGCACAGCTCGGGCACCAATGGCCCGAATTGGCACAACTGTCCTTTCCCTGGCAGTGATGCAGACCAGCTCGTGGCAATAATCCTGCAGGAAAAGAAACTGCCTCAGCACAGGGCATTTAGTGCCATCCCCATGGCAGAAGAAAAACCATTTCTATAACCCTTCAAGGACATCAATTTACCTATTGCACCCTAAAATGAACACGAAGTTCTACTAATATGTCACATTTTAAAGGCACAGGAGCACTTTGCCAAAACCATCTCTGTGGCATTCAGCTCTTGTGTCACTTGGGTCATTCCCATACCCTAGGCCACCATAGTTTTTACTCTAAATTTTAATGATGTTAAAGAATTCCTAAGGCCCTTCTAAGGAGCATGGAGCAAGGGAACACAAGACATGCCTCTTTACGTTTCTATGTTCCCACTGTCTGAGAATAGGACAAAGCGTTCAACTGACTCTAAGCAGCAAAAGGAAGATGAGAAAACAGCTGCACCCAAAGAGATCCTGCACCTCTGGCCTGGTGCAGAAACATCAGTTGGCTCAGAACTCCCCTCTAACTTTGCCTGTCCAGCCAAGTCAGGAGAAGAACAGTGCCAAGATGCAGCAGGATGCTGTTGGAAAGGGCCTCTCTTTGTTTCCCTGCAAGGCTTCCTCCCTTCCATGCCATGTCCTAAACCCTTCTGTATGAACAAGCCTCCAGATCAGAACATGAACCCTCCAGATGCCAGCACTGAGGTCAGACTTGCCAGGGCCTCAGCACTGCTGTTCAAACCTGCCCACAAAAGCACCTTTGGCACGGAATGGGTGCCAGCTGACAGAGCAAGCACAGTGACAGGCATGAAGACAGAGCCCCACCAGTGTCACTGCCATGGGCTCTGGGCTCACAGCTCTGCCTGCAGCTTGTACCTGCCCTGCAGCAGCTCCTGCAGGCAGGTGTCCAAGTCCCCTGCAGCTCAGCAACCTCCTGCTGACCAAGGGCACCCAGAGCCTAGTGTGCCTGTGCCAGGCTGGGCTCACGGGCACAGCACATCCTCTGCCCTGGGCCTGCTGCTGTGCCATGGTCACTTGTGCTCTGGGACAGCACAGCTGCAAGGCTGCAGAACAGAGGGGCTGAAAAAGCATCGTCTTTGCTCTTGCCCAGGGGCAGGCAGGGAAGCTGTTGCCAGTCAGCAAGGAGGAAGCTCCCTGACCTCTTTGTTCCTCTGCTGTTTTCCACCATAATGAAACCCCTTCCACTGGACCTAGAGATGGCCCAACAGCGATCAACAGCCCTCTGTCATTTTCATCCTGTTCCCTGTGCATCTTCCCCTGGCAATGCTCAGGGATGTGCAGGGAGGGGAAGCAGAGCCTGTCAGGCCTGGCTGCAGTGCCTGCCAGCAGTGCCAAGGTGTGACTGGCTGCAGGCTGCCTGCCCACGGCCTGGAGCCCAGCTCACAGCATGCAATGGGCTGGAGCCAGAGTGCAGGGAAAACAATGGCTGTGGAGATCATCGTGTGCTTTGGCTCCTCCAGCCTCACCTTGTTCTCGTCGGGGCTGAAGCGGATGCGCACAGGGGCAGAGGCGCCTGCTGGCACCATATGGTACACATCCCTGGGGCACGCCAGCTGGAAATAAGGGCAGCTCTCCATGCACACCTTCACCAGCCGAGGCATCTGCAGCAAAGACACCAAACGATGATTTTGCCACTTGTGGAAACAGGACCAGAGGAGACCTGTCCGTGCCCTGCTGACATCCCTCCCTGGCCCCTTTCCCAAAGCACTTTCAGCTGTGCGGGCACAGGCACACCATTCACAAGGCTGAACTTGAATCCCTTCTCTCTGGCTCCAGCATTTTGGCCAGGGCCAGCAGGGCAGTGCCTGCTGGGAAGGAAGGGCCGAGCAGCTCAGCACCAGCAGGATGGAGACAGAGCACCTGAACCAAGTCATCTGCATATTCAACAAGGCCAAAAAACCTGCTGGCTTCTGCCTGCACACAGCCATGAAGTTGTCATGGTCCAGAGGGGGAATGTGCTACCTACAAGCAAACCAGCACATTGTCCTGGGGGAAGGAAGAAATGCCCTTCTAGCAGACCAGGTTTGGGTAGGGACCTTGTGGGGATACAGTCAGGCAGGCAGAGCAGCAAGAGAGGAGACCAAACACTGTGGCCTTACTGGGAAGAAAAGCAAACCTGAAAAGCAAAAGAAGGAAGGAACACAGCAAGACCATCCCTAAAACAAGGAGAAGGCAAAGAGTATTTCAATGGGCAGTGAAGCAGCAAGGAAGAATCACAAAACCATGAGAGCAATCAGCTTGCCAAAAGTAACAGAAACACAGACAGGCTGTGCCTATGGACTCTGGGCTTCAAAGGCATTTTCTGCCTGGAGAAACATGACCAGCACTGAGTGACAGTGTGGTTCCAGTATGCAAAGCCAGTCTTGGCTCTCCAGGGCTTCCTGCTGCCTGTGCAGGCAAGCTGGGCTGCTGGGCATTCCTGCCTGCAGCCAGCAGGCCAGGTGCTGCCCTCTGGGATTCACAGACACAGCACACATGCATTTTCTAGCACACTGATATCCCCTGAGCACCAAAATGCTCTCCAAAAGTCTAAACCAGATGCTTTGGGCTCCCTCCCGTCTCCTCCCACCAGCCCACTCTTGGCACAAGCCTCACTTGAAAAAATGTTTCCCTGACTGAAATTCAAATGGCCTCAAGTTTTCCCCTTTACAGTGGAACACAACTGCTGACATTTTTCAACTTTTTCCCTCGCAGCTCTCTCAGGAAACTGCAAAACAATCCCAATTTCTTCAAGTGAAGGTGGAAACCTCCAGGAACACATGGCTTTGGATGTGCTGTGGTTCTCCAAAGGGAACACAGAGCACCGTGTTGCTTTTGGAAAAGCTGAGCAGAGCTGGATGAAGCTGAGCAGGAGCCTCAAGTGGCCCCTAAAGGCCTCTCACTGCTTCTGCTCCACCAGTCTGGTTGCAGGGCTCTTTCAGAACACGGTTCCTGCAGTGCCAATGCCATTAATGAGAAGTGATGCTAGCATAAAGTGCAGAAGGCTCAGCCCCTGAGCTCTGACTCTGAGCTGCACAAAGGGAGCCAAACTGGCTGAGAGAGGCAGAGATTCCTACCAGGAGCCAAGATTAACCAAGGAGACACAGGATGTGCTATAGACTCAAGGCAAAGCATGAGAGCAGGTAAGAACTGTACAGCCCTCAACATTCCTATCAATCCAGAGCTTGCAAGAGAAGGAAACTCCTTTGGGATAGATACCATCAAGGCATGGCCAAAATCAGGGGACAGTTTCCAGCACAGGAAGATTTCCACCATCTCGCAGAACAAGGTGCTGAGACGTTTTCCTCTGCATGTGCTGCAGCAGATAACTTGCTTTGCTGTACACTGGGGGAATGACAGCACTCTCCTCTTCCAGCACAGTGTTAAAGCTCTGGGTGCCAGCACTTACCTTGTCCTTGTTCATGAGAGACAGCACCATTTCAGAGACCTCCCCAGCGACGAAGTTCTGAAATACCAGCACTGGTGGGGAAACCCCAAACCAGCTCTGTTTCGGGGCAGCTGACAGCAGCTGGAGAGGAGAGAGAGCAGGGAGAGCTTCAGCTGCTGGGAGGAAGGTTCATGCACGAGAATCTTCCACTGATCCCCATGAAGTACAGACTCTGGGGGAGCACGTCTGCCCAGCCCACACTGGGCAAACAGTGGCTCACCCACCTCTGCTCTGAGCTGATCCACAGCTGCTGGGCCACACAGAGCAGGCTCAAGCCAAGCTGCTCTTTTGCCATGGATTTCTCCAGGTTTCTTTCTCCACAATGCCAGGCAGCACTTTCCTTAAGCACAGCCCTGTGCCCATGTGGTCACAGAGCTCTGGGGCACTGACTGAGCACTCCTGGAGTAAGGTAAAACCCATGAATTTACAGGAGACTCCATGGGAAACAATTTTGGGATGTCCTTTACTCTGAGACAGGGAAACCGAGGCCCACACAACTGCAAATATCTTTTTTGCTCTAGAATTTAGACATCAGTAAGAAGAGCACAGGACCAGAGGAGATGTGAGAGATGAGCTGACATTTGGCTGAAGCCAAAAGGTTATGAAGCAAAAGAATGGAATTTGCTGGTTCTGTGTGTTGCTTGTGGTTTGCATTTGTTCAGGTTGAGTGTCACAGTGAGAGGGACGGGGTTGAAGACCTGACCAAAACGAAGGAGGACGAGAGGGGAGGGGACAGAAAAGTTGGTGGTCAGTAGAGAATGGAAGCTCCTGAGTACCCATCCAATGGCAAAGGGCACAGGGGCCGCCCCAGCCGGGTACAAAGGGGATACAAAGATTGCCATTTTCTCGGGGGGTGTGTGTGTGTGCTTGGCTCTCGGGGAGGGAGACATGCCCGGCTCAGCTGAATCCTTACTAAGAAACACTTTTCTTTTGCTCTGATGATTTTGTTCCCTTTCATTGTACTTAAAATTCAGTGTGTTTCAAACAGAGGGAAAGGCAAAAATAAAAAGACAAATGAGCTGCAAAGAAAAAGACAAGTGAGGTGAATGCTGAATGAGGATAAGGTTCAGTTATTTTCTCAGCAACTTGGGTAAAAGTAGAGTTGCTATCTCCTTTTTCCATGAGCTTTAAATGGGTGCTTTCTTGTCATTATTGCTATCTTATTCAATGCCATTGTAGAGGCACGTCTGGAATGACACAAGAACAGCAAATGCTTCTGGAGCAGAGACATTGCTTGGAGAAAACTCTGCCCTGCTTTGTCTGCCTTCTCCAGCCACACTGCTGTCACTGCAGAGACGCAAGCAGGTCTCCTCTGTGACTTCACAGCAGACACATTCTGCTGAAGGGAGTGGCTGCAGCACACTGTCCCTTAGCTGTGCCCTTTCCTGAGGTGTTCCCAAGGCCCCTCTCCAGGACAATCCTTAACCTGGATTGTGTTCCGTGGCTCTTGGGGCCAATTTACTGCTCAACAGCCCACCTCAATCACCTATCCCTTTGGACTGTGCTTTCTACTGAGCCAGTCCTGCCAGAAAAGCAGCTTTAAACACACCTCTAAGTAGGCACTGATCCAGATAAAGCACATCCATTCCCCTCTGCCCAGGGCCAGTCCCCTGTACATCTGGCAGCCTGCAAAATCTAACACCCCGTCAGGCTCCCAACACATTGTTCCAGCCCAAAGCAGTAATGCAATTTGTTTTGTTAAAGCTGAAGTAATTCCTGCACATCCTTGGCCTTCAAAGGCCAACGCTGCCACTCTGGCGGGAATCCGGTGACCCCAAGCATTTGATGGTGACCACACCAAAGCAGGAGAATGGCAAATGGCAATGTTGTGCCTTTGTGTCCCCAGCCTTCCCCCTGTTAGCAATGGCAGCTACGCTCCAGCACACCCCAGCAGCTTCAGCTGAGGTTATTTGTGTTGGCTTAGTGCAGATCAGGACTCCCAGTCCACCACTCCCAGCAGTTTGCAATGACAGCAGGACCTGGACACTGAGGGCTTTTGCTGGAGGCAAGCCTGTCACAAGCACACACCCTCTTCAAACTTCCTGTTAAACAGAAAGGAAAAGAGCAGGAAAAGGCTACCTTTGGACGAATCTCACTCCTGTCTAGAAATGGGCCAATTCTAGGCAGAATACTCCCTCCAGTGTTGGCCTCCTTCTTCCTGCTGAGAAACTTCTCCCTCAAGAACTTAGAGGGAAGCAGCTGAAAGGCAAAAATACACCAGCTAGAGCCTCAGAGATGTGCTTGTTCAGAAAGGCTTTTCTTGAACAAGTGGCACTGGTGAATAACTTGTGATCACAGCCACTGGGACAGCCCTGGAAGCCCTGGAAGTTTCCTGCTGAAATACTTAGCATCAGTCAATTAATAAAACAGAGTGCAATACACATACTCCAGCCACAAGGCTCTGTCCCATGAGCTTCTCCGTGACCGGATGGGACATGGTTGGGGATTTCTGCTCTTTGGGCATTTGTTTCCTCTTATGTTTCATTGGATTGAGGCAGTGACCTTTCCAGAGAATGGGGAGGAGCTCTCAGAGCTGCCTGAACTCCAGCCCTGCACAACACTCAGAACTCACAGCAAGGAGATATCGCTGCTGGCTGAGTCCAAGAGATGCAAGAAAACAAAGTTGTACCTAGAGTGAGGTGCACAGGAATGTGTCCAGGTTTTAGTTCTCCCTGTTAATTGTTTTCTCTGTCTGGGCTGACAGAGCCCTCCACAGAAGAAAACAGAGGGATCTCCTTGACCGAGCCTCAGCAGTGGGGCATCTTCAGTCAAGTGAGCTGCAGACAGCAAGGGACCTTTGTGGCCCTGGCCCCAGTGCTGCCTGCAGGGCTGGATCTGTGCCCACACAGGAGCTGGGAGAGAACAGCTGCTTTGCAAGCTCTTCCAGCTGGGACCAGCCGTGGCTCTCAAGGCTTTGGGCAGAGTTTGAGCCTCCCCCCCACATGCCCAGGTGCCCAAGGGCACGATGGTCAGAGCAGCACAGGTGAGTGCCCAGCCTGACAGAAGGAATTCCTGTGGCAAAGGGAAAGGGACACAACACATGCTCAGGGCTTCAGCTGTACATTGGTTTCACTTGGCTCCGCTGGCACAGCCAGGCAAGGCACCACTGAAGCATCCCACAGTGTTCCCTACTGCACCAGGACAGCCCCAGCAACAGGAGCACGGCACAAAGGGCTGGGGAGGGGCTCTGCAGCTTCACAGCACTGCTGGACAACAGGGGCAGGGAGAGCAGGGACACCAGGGCACTGCCAGCCTTAACACAGCCCCAGGGGCTACTCACAGCATCAGGCTTCAGTCCTTCCCTGGACAAAAGACGAGGTGTTGGTGTCTTCTTTGGCAATCCTGACGCCATTTCCAAGGGAGGATCTCGCAGATGAGCCACAATGCCTCAACAAAACTGGAAGGAGCAACAATGGAACTCTGAAAATCCAGCACCCAATTCATGGCAGATTCTAGGGATATACTGGTGCTAAAAATGTTACATTATTTGAAAGTAGCTAAGCGCTTGTTTGGTGTAAGTAGCTAGTATAGTTAGGCCTCTAGTTGGACTTTATTTGAACTCCATGGCTACCTTGTGCAAGTCAAAGATGGATCATACTGAAACCTGGAGCTCAAAAGCTGAACATTAATAAGAGTTGGAACAGACAAAGCTCTAGCCTAAATATTACTTAAAAATAGCTAGAGTGGGCCTCCTCTTCTTTAGGCTAAAGCACCCCTGTGCTCTCTCAGCTGTTCCTCACAGCTGAGAGACTCCTGAGAGACTGGAATGTTATGGCTAATGGCTTAAATATCATCATAAAGGACTTTCTGCCCATTGGGACAAAACTGTATAAAGAAGCTGCGACCACCAAAGCCCAGCCTTCCCTGAAAATGCCTCCTGACTGGAACTTGGCACTGTGAGTTAAGCTGCCTAAGGCAACTTGAGACAAGATCAAGGTGACACTATTGTCCCATTAGCTCAGGGCTGGGGAGAAGTAAACAAGGCTGAGGAGAAAAACCTATCCACAACAAAGCCAAACCCAGCAGCTGTCCTGAAAATCAGCTCTGTCTGCCTTCAGGCTGGGGAAGCCACAGCCACAGGCTCTTCTGCTGAGGCCAGGTTTGCACACAAACCTCCCATCAAAGACCTCCACAGTGCCTCCAGACCCATTCCTGAGGCCTTGCACCAGACCACTGCAGGGCATGCAAACTAACACAACAAACCGGAAAATCCAGAACCCAACTCATGGCAGACTCGAAGGATATATGGGTGCTAAAGATTTTGTATTATTTGAAAGTAGCAAGAGACAGAGTCAAACTTGCCCCAGGCCAGGGAGGTACCTGGGCAGTCCCACCTTGCCCAAATCTGCATGAATCCATTGGAGTCTTACGTTTTGCCAGACCTCACCACAGAGAAGACCACAAGAGGATGTAATAGTATGCCAATGGGATCCATGGAATGGTGATATTTTCTACTAAATCTGTCTCTGTCACTCTCTTTCTCCCCCCTCCCCTTCCCAACCCCCATCCCCCTCCCACTTTTCTTTCTCTCTCTTTCTTCCTCACATTTACTGTTACATATTGACTATTGACTTTTGACTTTTGACTATTGACTTTGGCATGTGGTCTCATTTGCACCTCAATACAGAGGCATCTCCCTAATAATTTTGATAACCAGGTGATAAAAACCCACTGAAACTTGAACAGAACTCATTCACCTTTAAGCAGTTTAAGCAATTACTATAGGGAAAAATGTATAGACTAGTAGATTTAGAAAATGTTGCATTTCTTCAGTGAAAAAAAAAGCACAATCAGTAGACCATTTATTGTTCATCCTCTCAGGTGTACATGTCACTGAACTACTGCGCCAGAAGACTGGCATGATCACATCCTCTATTGCCCTTTGGCATTCTCTTTCAGAGCACAGATGAAACAAAACCAAAAAGTTCAACTTTAGTCGGTCTTTACCTTCAACTGAAATTCAGGACTCCCTAGCAGAGACCGATGTTCTGCACGCTGAGGAACTTTTCGCAGAGGCCAATGCTCTGCACCTTCAGGAATTCTCTGCGCAGACCAATGCTCCGCCAACAATTCCCTTGGCG